CATTTGAACCTGCAGCCTGGTGATGAAAGAGTCTACCTGGCTACCTCAACCCTTCTGCTACTGATCTGCATTAACCACACAAGTGGCTGAAAGCTGAGACACCACCTTCCACTGACCATGTATGATTTGTGTATAGCTAAGAAACAACTGCAACACCCCACCGTGGGGTGCTAACTGCTGCCAGTGGCAATTTGTATAACCTGGGGCACCAGCTAGACCCGTCCTTTTGGTTTCTTTGGGCTAATGAGGAACCTCAGGGTCCTGGTACGGGGATACCTCCTGTAACAGCACCCTGACAGAACAGCTAACTATTTACAATATTTATTATTTACTAACTATATATATATAGATGCATATGAATTTCCATTCAGGTATTTACATACATATAGATTTGTATATTTGTATACATGCACCACTATCTATTCCAAGGTTTAATTTGTAACTCAATTAACTTATAGAATAGTACTAATGAACTCAATGCTTATTAATATATATAATTTTGCAACAACATATATACACATATAGGTAGGTGATCACACCCCCAGTAGAGTGACAGGAGGTCTATTCCCCATATAGTCAGGCAACCTTATATGTGTCCAAAACCCTAAAAAGCAAAACAGGAACATCCCTCTTTTGTAAAAAAATGATACAGTGCCAGTAGGTCTGTCATAGACAGCCAGGATAACAGCCTTTCAGTTGGTTACTGTTGACTTGAAGTCACCTTAGTTCAGGCAAATGTACTCAGTCAGGTGCAAGTGCAATGGATGCTCCCTCGATGGCCCTGTGGCTCTACTCCTGACAACGGCTGGTGCCCTTGCTCGGCCTCCTGTAACACAAACAACCTCCTCCCCATGACACCTTTTTCTGCCCTTCAGACAGGCTGATGGATCTACTTTCCTGGTTGCTCACTCCCACAGCCCTCTGACACTCAGAGTTAGGGCTTCTCTAGCACCCTCCACTCCCACTGTCCTCATCTGCACTCTTGCTAGCTGAGGCTGGTCTCCATGCAAGGTCTGCTACAAGGGGAAAGGGCTATGTCCACTCACCAACTCCCAGCCCCGGGTGCTTCCCCTTCAATCAGATCTGGGGCTCGCCTCTGGGCTCTGCTTGCTTCCCTCACTCATGCGACAGGTGGCTCGGCTCTTGCAGCCTCCCACACTTGCCACTCCTGCCCCCCAGTGGGATCCCCGCAACAGTATCCCCCCAGCGGTTTGTCCCTCCCTCAGCTCCCCAACTGTCCCCAATGGCCAACCTCCCACACCAGATCTCGGCCGCTAGCCACTCCTGCCAAATTCTGGGGCTCTGAGAAGGACCCTATTTCCAGGGCCTGAAGGCAGAATTGCTCTAGCCCATTCATTTTGGTGTCCTCAGGGGGCCAAAAATCTCCCAGGCTCAGCCTGGTGTAGGCTCGCTGCAGGATACCCCCTATGGGTGACTATCCCTTCTGTTCCAGTCTGTTACACAATGACAAGCCAACATAACACTTGTGCAAACTGCTCTTGATGGCAATGCATGTAAAAGGCCCTTTGATCACCTGTGCACTCAAATTCTACCAAACAAAAGGCTTCAAGTAAAGAGGAGTTTTTGCTGTCTCTATCCAGCTGCATTTTAATTCTTCTACTACACACATCAAGTATGAATAATGCATGCCCTAGAATGTCACAAAGGTATAATAGAAACTTAGCTGCCTGACTGAATTATTCTATGGAAACATCTACGGATACACTGAAAGACAGAAAAAGTCTTTACTTCTGTCAGCACCATCCTACCTTCCTTAAGATGTCAAGAGTTTCATTCTAATACACACTAGTGTAATACCTAGAGCTGACAAAAGGTATCTGCTTTAATGAAGGAGATTTAAAGGGGAAAAAGCATGAAATCTTAAATCTCATAGAAACACAACACTCTTCAACCAATCCAGAAGATACCTTTTTTTGTTTTGTTGTTAAAATAACCTTAAAATAAATGAACAGTGGCAGTCTCTCTGTAACATGGAGTGCAGATGATCAGTGGCTCAGTATGAGATTTTGCCCCCAACATGAAATCTTTCTCTGTAATAAAGAAGGGAGTGATGAACCAGTGAGGAAATAGTGAGGAGTGCCCAGCTACACCCACCTCAAGCGGTCCTACCGTGAAGCTATGCTACAGGGCAAGACATGGGGGAAATAAATCTACCAGCGTGCAGAGATTCCACCATGCTGTAAAATGTCTAAAATGGGCAATTTACTTCAATTAATGAAAATTTAAATGGCACGGTCTCTCCCCTCTTCAATTATGATTAAAGACCACTGTAGACAGGGAGGTTTTCAAGCAGAAACTTCAGGCCTCAGGAGTTGCAAACCAATATACCGAGTTTCCAGTAAAGGTGTTCTTGAGGAAGAAGAATCCCATTACTCCAGTGACTAACAAACTGTATGCATTACCCTGGCAACACAGTTATTGCAAGTGAGAACCTATCTTAAAGCTTATGAAGACTGAGGAAGGAAGAATGAGGAATTTTTCATGGATGCCAAGAAACTGCTTGTGCTCTGATGACACTAAAGCAGTATTCACTCCTAAAAGAGAGCTAAAAGGTCCCTATTTCAGACGAGCTCTGCTGCAACCCAGTCTTCAGAAGAAGGGGCAGAACCCAGGAATTAAAAATGGGTATTTCTAGCCTGGGGAAAAGATGCAGGGAAGATCATTTGCACGCATGAGCTGATAACTGCAGTCACCAGATAATAACAATTGACAATGTTACTATTTGATTTGTGAGAAACCAGCAGTGCTGGAGCTGCTATCAAAGGGGTGCTCCACATGGATATAGGAAAACCATGGATAATACATAACATTTCTTCCCTCAGAAATCCAAAAGCATTTCACAACCTTAGAATATAGAAAAGGTTTGCAAATGTCACTTCACTCACGCCAGGAGTGCAGCCCCTTAGCGCAGCATAATCTACAGGTCAAGCAAAATAATGTACATTACCATACCATGTCACTAAAGTGGGGAGTGCATAAGAGCATAAATCTATTTGAAACTATAAGAGAGAATTTAGGTCAGCAGAATCTAATTAGCAGAGTATGCAAATGGCCAGGTTACCAGAGTTCACCACCTCTACCCCTTACAAAAACATTATGGGACCATTACAGATATCAATTGGTAAAGATCTTGCTCCACCCCAGTATCCTTTATTAATATAGTGGGGAATTGTTTTAATATTGTACCAGTGGGTTAAGGTTTATCTTCAACATAACTTCCTGCAGCATCTGCTTCTTGGAGGTCCTCCATTCAACAAGTCCCCCCTGCTTAGCTTATAAGAGCTGCTGGGTTCCTATAACAAGGTAAAGTGGCCATACGTATTTGAATAATAAGGAGCGATTGTTAAAGACTTAAAATGTATCCTTTTAAAAAGCATAAATAGCATGTAGAAAACAGATGAAACTCAGCTTGATCTTTCAATGCAGGGCAATGCATAATACCAAAAAGTAAATGATTAAATTCTACCCTCCCTTAAATCTTTTGTGGGGCTGTCTGCTGTTAGAAATGACACTACTTTCTTACGCTTATCTCTTAGGATTGTAATGGCATATAATCAACTCAATGTGTGTGGAATTATGTGCACAAAATCCCTTCTGCACTAAGTTAAGAGACCTAGAAATGACAATACTATGGCTCAATAAAAAACAAACAGAGCAAAACAAAACACATACCCACACATTATAAAACACCCATTAAACGTTATTAACACCTGCATACTCATGAGTTCAAAGTCTGTCTGTTATCCAGTGAATTGCCTTTCTATTGAATTTTTATTTATTTTAGATTTTGGGGGAACTTACCTTCTGTACCACTTGGCTGATTGTTTACAAATCATGTTAAGGAAATCTCATATGCGTAAGGAAAGTATATGCTTTTCTTGTGGATGTCCCTTCCTCCTCTTATCAGGTCATAGGTCCTACCTGGCAGCTACCTGTACCAAAATTATGTAAATAATGTCCTGCCCACACTGGGCCCTGAGGATTGCTCTCTTCTTCACTCTGGTGGGCTTTATTTTCCTCACTTGAACATCCAGCTCCCTCTTCCAGCGATACGCAACTATCCATTATGAACCAAGTACTATTAGTTCATAATCATCAGGCATGCAACATCCATGCCTGATGTAAACATGAATCTGTGTAATGAAAACCGGGATTGTTCAGAGGCTTCAATGTTAAGCCTTCATTCAATTCTCCATTCCCAGCCTAGGCAAGGGCATCAGAAGTCAGTGAAAGGGGCCAAAAATGGAGACAATGGTGGCTGGCAGCCAAAGTCTGAGCCAATTATTCCTGCAACATCCCAAAGACATTGCCCAGTTTCCTGACAGATAAAAGGGTTTAGCTGGGATATCTAGGATCATTCATAAATCCAGCTCTTGCTACTACAGCATTGCTGCATGACAGTATTTTGGCTGGAGCACAAATTCCTAGATTTCAAAATTCAAATATCTTCTAATAGCAAAGCTTAAAATGCTAAAATATTTTCAAAAGGTTTTGCCTTGCAAGTTCTGAGCTGCACGACATGTGAAGGTGCAGTAGGACCATGCCCATGCTTGAATATTTTACCACTTTAGCTTTCAGGCCATCAACAAGAAATGAAAGGATGCACAGGATCATTGCTGCATATTCTCCCTGCATTATTTACAACCTGGGAGGCTGCAGCAGTTCAGAATAACAACAACAATATAAAAAGTCAGAATTTACCCTTAAGCTACATTTTCATCTTCAGAGTCTGCAGTGTAAAACAACTAAATAAGGTTTAAAACAACCTCCCTGGCCCCTCCTGTTCCCTAGTCTTTGGTTCCAAATGGTACCCCATTGATGTGCAAAGGAATTTACGCAGATAAAATTTGGAGAAATTTAGTGAGATGGGTATGTGCAATTCCCTGAAGCCTCAATGGAAAGGTGCACAGATTTCTTGTCTCAGGATTTTGGCACCTTATTTCTGCCAATTCTGCCAACTTATTGCCCCTCTCTCTTGCCTTGTTGAAGTCTTCAGAGGTTGCCCTCATTTCCTTCCACGTTTTGTTCAACAGCTGGATGCAGGTACAGAAGAACTCCTCAAATGATTTGTCATGTGTGAAGAACATGGGATGGAAATCATTGCAGGTCTCACTGGCTGAAGACATAACAGAGAGAAAATAAAATATTAACAGGCAGGACTCAAACTTAAAAACCCCAAACACACTTGGAAATAACAATAAACCCGGGGGGGGGGGGGGGGGGGGGGG